GGCCAATGCTTTTCCTGCCAATTCTCCTATTTTATTATCACTCAAATTCAATTTTGTCAAGGTAGTATTCTTACTCAGTGCCTCGGCCAGTGCTTTTCCTGCCGATTCTCCTATTCCATTCTTACATAAATCTAAATATTCAAGGGTAGTATTCTTGCTTAGTGCCTTGGCCAGTGCTTCTCCTGCCGATTCTCCTATTCCATTCCCACCTATAGATAAATCAATCAGGGCGGTCTTTTCCAATGCCTCGGCCAATATATTTCCTGCTAATCCCCCTATTTTATTACCATTCAAATTCAATTTCGTCAGGGTGGTATTCTTGCTTAATGCCTTGGCCAGTGCTTTTCCTGTAGATTCATTTATTTTATTACCACTCAAATTCAATACTGTCAAGGTGGTATTCTTGCTTAGTGCTTCGGCCAGTGCTTTTCCTGCTGATTCTATTTTATTAAAACCCAAATTCAATTCCGTAAGGGTGTTATTTTTGTTTAGTGCCTCGGCCAATGCTTTTCCCGCCGATTTTCCTATATGATTAGCATATAAGTTCAAAACTTTCAGGGTGGTATTTTTGCTTAGTGCCTCGCCCAGTGCTTTTCCTGCTGACTTTTCTATCTCGTTCCAACCTATATTTAAATTAATCAGGGTAGCATTCTCGCCTAGCGCCTCGGCCAGTGCTTTTCCCGCCAATTCTCCTATTTTATTATAACTCAAATTCAATTTCGTTAGGGTTGTATTCTTGCGCAGTACCTTGGCCATTTCTTTTCCTGCCGATTCTCCTACTTCATTATTACTTAAATTCAATTCCGTCAGGGTAGTATTCTTGCTTAGTTCCTCAATCAGTTCTTTTAATAACGATTCTCCTATTTTATTACTACTTAAATTTAATTCCGTTAAGGTGTTTAGTGTCCCGGCTAATTCTTTTCCCTTCAATTCTCGTATTGCACTATTAGATAAATCAAATTTTGTCTGGATAGTTTTCTTGTGCAGTGCCCCAACAGACTCTTTTTCTACCGAATTATCGATAACCATTTTTTCTAAATCCCTTTCTTTTGATATTGGAACCATTGGATAAAAATTAACATCATAACGATCTTTGCTTAATGATTTTTCGCTACTTTCACTGTAATCTGTTAAATGTAAGCAATTAAAATAGAAATAATTCTTTAATATTTGTTTATCTAGAATTATATTCTGCCATCTTTTGTAATAAAATATATAATCTAATTACCTGACATATTTTTGACTTTGATTTCCAATTCGCACTTATGGTTAAGCTAGAGGTTTCTTCTACCTTAGGACGAGATGTACGATCTGGAGTGGCATATAAATACGTAGTGTCTATGCTGCATTAGTAACGTTACTGTTTCTGTTTAAATAATTAATTTCTATAATTGACTAGTAACTATCCCGTGCGTCACTCATGCAGGTGCGCTTACAGTGAATTTGAGTAAATGAATTCCTTCCATTAGTATAAAGATGTACGCCGCTTAATGTCGTGTGACAGAAATAATGATCGATTCGATTTATTAAGACCATATACATATCTCGGATGGTGGTAAAAAAATTTTGCTAAAGAGAATATAAACGTTAATATAATAGTAAAAAGGTCAATGAGTATGAAATATACTTGGGTTGTAACTCTTGTTGTCGTCGCCAGCAAACATCCTTCCAGTCTCTTTATTTATCCCATTATTTTGCATTTAACAAGATTATACGATTAAACAACATTTAAAATATTTTATAAATTTTGATCAATCATATTCACTAGATAGAAAGACAAAAGGTATTGGAGATGGAAATTAAAATATTAGCAATTGTTGCTACCAATATTGTCACCTGTAAGATAATGCCAACATTATAAGATGTATCTCCAACATTAGGACTATAGACTGCATTTCTAAGTCAAAAAATATTGCCGATAGAGATTTCATAAACATAAAAAAAATTATATTATTTTAGAGATTTGAAGAATATAATTTAAAAATAGTTAAATGGATGTACATATAGTATTACACAACGATAACGGTTCTTGTACTGGTATGCATAATGCACAATACATGTACAATATCAAAAAAGTTTATTTCATTGTTCGTTAAATTTTACATCATGTGGTTTTACATAGTAAGTGCATTATATAAAGTTTTACAATAGAGCTTGTATGTTAAAATATTTAATATTAAATATGGGAATTATATACAGTACGTACAGTATATACTGTATATGAATAAAATATAATAAATCATTTACAATATATTATTAAAGGTATAAGTAATTATATATAAAATATTAAAAATTAATTTCTAATTATAATATATAACACTAATTGAAATAATATTATTTGGCTTTTAAATGTTAAAGTAAATAAGATTTAACTTTTTAATTTTTGTAACAATTTATATATATTTTTTTAATTAATCAGATAAAACTTTATTATATTTGTTTTGATAATAATAAGAAAAGACAATTTTATATTTTTTAATAAAGTTTATAAATTTTTTAAAAGTTAATTCTTGTATAATTATAAAAAAAGATTGTTTAAACTTAGTAAGGTAATATGTGATAACCAGAGATTCTAGTTACCTACAACATGAACTAATAATGACAACAAAAGTTTCTCGCTTACCTCTCCAACAATGTAGGTCTATTGTACAAGATTAGGTTCCGGCACCACTAAGAAAACCAATATAAACTTCACCTATAGGATACTTCTGCCACACTTGAAGCATGGATATGCCAAATCCTTTTTATGACTTAGAGGAAAACTTATATAAAGTGGCTGCAATACCTTCATGCAAAAAGGTACTCATTTCTTATCATCTCCAATACTATTCCACTTGCCATACATCAAGCCATATTTGAAAAGCAGGCATGCCAATCCTAATCATGACTTGGAGGTCAACCTATATAGATTGGCTATAGCACCTTCATATAATTAGATATTTATTTACTTCTAGGTAGCTAGATGCCATTTATAAACATAATATAGATTTTTGAATTTCTTTTTGTTTGTATTTCTTGAATGGTACTAAAAGAGCACAGGAGTCTGGCTCCATACGAGAGTCTTGTGTTAAACTCTTTTAACAAAGAGAGACATATATCATACTATTGAGTATTGTATCTTGCTTCACAAGTGAAAGTATAATAAATATAATAAAGCATAATAGCCATTTGTTCTTTTCAAAAAAAAAAAATTGTTTAATAATAATTTATTAAATTAATTTTTTTTATTTTTTTAAAGTTATAAATTAAATAATAAAATTTAATATTTAAAATAAATAAAGTTTTATTATTTTTGTTTTATTAAAATAATTTTCAATACTAAATTTATTAATATTTCAATTTAATTTTTTTTTCCATAATCAAACAAACATATACTGTTTATTAAATCTTTATAGAAAATAAATAATAAATAATATATTATATTGTATAAACTATTCTACTGCTTTAAATATCTGTCTTTAACTACTGTCTCTAAATATAACTTTGAAGATAAAAAAAATTATTTCCTTTACAATTTAATCACTTATAGAGTTCAATCTTAAAGATTATTACCTATAGTTCATTACTACAGTTCATCTAATCAAAGTCTAGACTACTTTTATATTCCTAATTATTTCTTCTCTTTTTTAATTTAATTTTAAATTAAGATTTTGTCTTAAATCTAAAAGCTGGGATTTTCTTTTTTATCTTGTAATATCTTGAAGCTTGTTTCCTCCTGTTCTTAATCCCTTGGCTTTTTTTTCTTTTTTTTCTTCTACTAGTATTTTTTTCTTTATATTTTATATTTTGAACTTTCTCCCAAAATCCTATAGCTTGACACATCTATCATTTCATATCTTTTTCTGAACTTGCTTATGGATATTTCTTGAAAGTTTTTTCAGTAATTGCTTTACTTCACAAGTTTTTATCTTTACATTGGTTATTGTTTAAATCTATTTTACAATATCTTTCTTTGAAAAAAGTCCTAAGTATATATTTATGATATTTATTTTTGTGAAGAATTTGTTTTTTTTTTTTTTGTAATCAAATAAGTATATACTGTTTATTGAATCTATACAGAAAACAAATAATGTATAATACATTGTATTGCATAAACTATTCTACTGTCCTGAACACCTGTCTTTAACTAGTGTCTCTAGGTGTAACTTTGGAGATGAAAAAGGTTGCTCCCTTTATGATTTACTTGCTTATGGAATTCAATCTTAAAGATTATTGCCTACAATTTATCACTACAGTTACAAAAACTTATGTATATATATTATATATAAACTATAATTAATATAATAAATTTAAAAAAAATTTTTTTTTTATTCATATTGTACAGTAAAAAAATTTATTTTACAAAGATTTTTGATATTAAAAGTTTTCTATACAGTATATGTATTACTCATGTCATTAAGGATTATAAAATTTCTAATTAAAAAGAATATGGTATAGAACCTCTATAGAGATGATCTGCAAGCTTTGACTCTATTAAACAAATGGGATCTTAATCCCAATTAATAGACAAGCAATATATCATCCCCATAAATTGCATCTAGAGACTCTTTGTCACAGATAGGTGAACTAGGTCGGGAAAATTTATACATACAATCTATATTTGTAATGGTTCATTTTGATTTAATAAATAAACGACACCAACCTGATTGAGAAAAAAAAAAAAAGAATATGGTATAGAACCATGTTTCGTTTTATGTAATATGTGAGCAATGTTGTACTGTATGTTTATTTGTCAGCAACGGGCAAAGATTTTCTTAAACCATTTTGACCAATTGGTTGACCGATTTAACTAACAATGACTTTTTAATTTAGAATGTTACCTAATTTGGTGAGCGTAATATATTTAATCAATTAATCACAACTTCCCATGTTTTTTTCCTCGTTTCTTTCTGCCTTTAATATCGTTTAGATTTTTTATTTTCAAAAACCTGTCTGTCATTATATCATAAAACCCTTTCCCTCTTTACTCCTTTACTCCTCTACTTACCTCAACAAAAAAAATGAGATTTCTCACCATACTCGTTTTTACCGCAACTATTGCATTGGCTTCTTTCGGTGCCAACGGTATTATTTGTTCTATATTATAAAGATTGACTATGTAAAACCAAGATATGCTAATGGAAACTTTATTATAGCACAAACAACAACCACCGGAGCTCCAACAGCTCTTCCATCCTTTACTTACAGTCTCACCGAACAATCTGCTGCTGAACGACAGGACCTTTGTAATCGGAACATGGGATATTGTATGAACAACTGTGGTGGCCCTGACAAAGTTAGTATCTATTACTTGTAACATACGCAAAAACTTTTATTAATTTTTTAATACTATCCATTTAACTTACAGGCACCAAAGGTATGTATATACATGTCTTGTAACATCTGTCTTCGACAAGGATAATATTTTTCGCTGACTTTTTTAATTCTGAATAGAACTTCTGTAATGTTACTACCATGGGATGGGGATGGTAAGTTGTGCTTTATACGGTAATAGCAAGTCACAAACAAAAATATATTAAATTTAAACTTTTTCTTGAATATAGTGGTTGTAAAGATAAAATCCCGGATTACCAAGCTTATCAATGGCCCATTAACTATGCTAATTGTGTCGGATGCGGACAGGCAAATATCTAAAAAGTTTTTGTGAAAAATTACTACTAGTAGTAGCTCATCTGTAAATATGTCTTATATTATTAGGCCTGCCAAAGTGCTTGTAAAGGCGATCAGTCTTGTATTGTAGCTTGCACCAAAGCATATAGTTCAGTGTAAGTGGTTTTATTTTTTTCTCATTAATATTATTATGTCCATCATAATAATGAATTACATTTAGATGTGGAACTTCCGACCAACCTCCGGCTTATTACCAAGTCGATGATCCTTCTATTACTCCATCCTATGGACCTTCAAAGAGTGGTAGTAGTAATGCTGCAACCAGCGGATCTGTTGGATCTACTAACCCCACTAGCACTCCTAGTTCAACTAACAGCACAGCAAGCGATGGTACAAATGTTTCACCATACTCAATTATCTACCCATTAGCTATCGTTGCTGCTGGTATGATGATGCTTTAGAGATAGAGTTTCATATGTAGTCTACATTATCATCAACCTATTTGTTATTTGCATATTATTTCGTTCATTTTTTTTTCATTACCCTAATTTTTAATTTTTCGCATTGCAAGACAGGTGATCATTTGCATTTAGATTCATTCATTTAGAGACTCTAACTTATAAATCCTAATAAAGAATCTAGACGTTGTGGCACAAATATAGTAAAACCACGAAACCTTGCTATTATTATAGATGAGTGATACGATTTAGGAAAATTAAAAGATAGTAAGATACACAATGTTGAAACATACTGTATACTTTGTATACTTAGAATGTTAAACTGAACTGGTAGTTCACAGCCTAGTTTAACCAATAAACTAATTGCATGCATGTATCCGAAAAACTTTGCATTCATCGATTTTACTAAAATACACTTCCGTATTCATGATAAGATTAAATTAAATTTTTATAGTATTTACTTATATGCTATCCCTTAATTTGTAGGCTTATTGTAGGCAAATTTGCTGACAAAACAGTTTAAGGGATATATTAATTTTGTTTATATAAATATTAAAACAAGTTGGATAATTCTTTGAATTAAAATTTTTATAATATTATATATAAAGGATAAGTCAAAATTTTTTGTAAAAAAGTATTGCCAATTTAAAAAACAAAAGTCTGAAAAACTTTTATATTTTTTTAGTAATAAAGTCTATAAACTTTCTTTAATAACAATTTTTTTCTTAAAACAGCTGCTTTGTTTTTTTTTATTTTATTTTTTTCAAAAAACTTTTTTTAGTTTTAGCAAAAAAATTATAAAATATATATCTGAAAAAAGTTTACAATAAAAATTTCTCTTTAGAAAAAAAAAATAATAATAAAATTTTTAACTATTCTATAAAAAGATTTGAAGTTCAAAAAAATTTTTATTAAAATTTAGTTTCAATATTATTATTTTTATTTTTATTAAGATTTTTTTTTAGTATATAATCTTTTTTTAAAGTTTTTAAGAAATTTGCTTAATTTTAAATTTTTGATATATCAAATAGTAATTAATTAAAATTCTTGAATTAATTAATTCTTTGATAATAAAAATAAAAACAAGACATTTTTTTTTATATGTTTTTTCTTATACAATATTAAATTTAATAATATAATTAACTAATTAATTAAAATTGAACAGGTTTTATTCAAAATTATAATCTAAAAATACAATTTATTTTAATATAATTTGATATTTGTTTTAATATAATAAATATTTAAATATATTAAAATCTAAATTAATATTTTAAAAATAATAATAATAAATTTTTTTTTTAATTTAATAAAAATTCATAAAATCTTTTTTAATATTTATTTTAAAAATTATAACTTAAAAGAAATTATTAACTAAATAAAAAAATATTTTACAAATTATAACTTAAAAAAAATATTAATTTTTATTAATATTTTTTTTAATTAAATATAAAATTTTTAAAAAATACTTATTGAAAAATATACAATACTGATAAAAAAAAACTGGAATTTTTTTGTTTTATAAAAACCTTTATAAGTTACACAGTTATAATCCAATTAAATTTTTTTTTGTACAAATAGAGAAATCATGAAATACGTATTACATGGATAATCAATATTTTCTCAAACTTTACTGGTTTTGTGAAAAAAGTCTTCAAAATATTAGTCGAAAGAAAAAAACATCAACATAAAATTCTATTATAATTGTGAGACAATGTTATACATGATACAAAAAAAATTTAATCACTTACAAAGTTTTTACTTTCAATTATATATGATAACTTAAAAAAGTTGAAAAAAGTAGGATCTAACAAGCATTCAGGTGGAAATTATTGGCCAAGAAATATCGACAGAGCTTCTTTAAAAGCATTAGAACAATATATTCATAGGAATACTTCTTTATTAACAAAAGATCTTGTAACTAAACTGTTAAAAAACAATATACAGGTATTATGTCAGACTATTAGAAGCTATTTGAAGAAGGTTGAATATATAAAAAATCTTCCACAAGCTACTCCTATGCTTACTGAAAAGCAAAAAAAAAACTAGGTATTGTGAGCACAAAATCACTTTGATAACACATGGGAATAAGGATAGGTCCCTAAACTATTTAGTATATAAAATTTTACAGATCAATTATGTCCCTTTTAAAGGGACATAATTATTTATTCATTATTTTAATAGGAACATAATTCAAAAAACATTTGAATCAAGTATCCTAAATTGCAAAAAACCTTTATAGATGGTTTTTTTTTGATCTTATATTTAAAAAAAAACTTTTTTAATAGTGAGGGACATTTGAATTATATCCTCGCCTTTAATTTAGGGACTTATCTTTACATGAGAACAAACTTTTTTTTTTGACAAAACAGCATTTGAACTCTATTAAAATACCATAAGATATTGACACAAAGGTGCATGACTAATTTGTTATATGCTGAAAAGCTGAGTAAAGATTCTCACTTGGAGGGGTTCTGTATAAGAGAAAAATCAACTTTATTTCTTTTTTAACAAATCATAAATGCAAGTTTTTATGTGGAAATTCTTTGCAAATATGTTTCAGAGATCAAAAGAATATTTGGCGATGAGTGATGCTTCCAGTAGAATAATAACCCGAAGTACACAAGTTGTCTAGCAAAAGCTTTTATCAAAGAAAATATATCAACTGTTATAGACTAGTTATCTAATAGTTCTGACTTGAATCTGATTAAAAATTTATGAGGCATTGTTAAGAACAACATAAAAAAATTTATGTCAAAAAATTTAAATGATTTAGAATAGTATATGGGTGAGGAGTAAAAAAAAATCAAAAAACCTGTTCTGATTGGATTGGTTCAGTCAATGAGGAAATATTGTGAGCTGATTATAAAAAGTAACAAGGATCATATAGTTTACTAAATTTTTTTAATTAAAAATATCAATTATAAACTTTAGTTAGTCAAAGTTTCATATAATTTCATGTGACCATTATTATGCAATAAAAAAAAATAAATTCCAGTTTTTTTTATTAATACTGTATATATATTTATTTAATTGATAAAATATAGTTTAAATTCTATTTTAACTATTTTTTTATAATTATAATTTTATTTAAAAATATTTTTTAAAAATATTTTATATTAAAATTTTTTAATTAAAATTAGAGTTCTGAAAAAGTACTGAACTGGTATTGAACTGATATCGAAATGGTACCAATCTATAGTAAATTTAATATATGGGTTGTGACCTACTCATATATTTTTATGGTAAATTTAATTATCGAACTGATATCAAAGTGGTATCATTAGGAGCCCTAATTAAAATAAATTTTGATTTTTAATATCAATTTTTTTTTCAAATTATATTTTCTATTTTTTTTTTTAAAGTTAAATAGTATTAAATATGAATTTTATTGATAATATATCATTTATCCATTACATTAAACATCTATTATAATATATAACTACAATTAAATGATAACTTATCAACTTTATTCAGAAATTTATTATTTGATAACTTTTCCTTATAATACCAAAGTATTATAGAAGATAAAAATCCTACTGTTAGTTTTAAACTATTTAACATATAGAGATTAGTTATAGTTTTATGCATATACTATTAATTACCTAAGTATAAATTACCTATTACATTATACCTTTTTGCTTATATAATATAAGCAGTAGTAGAGACTTTTAATACAAGTATATATTCCCTAGTAAATACATTGGTTTTAACTACTAGTTGATTACAATACTTTCAAACCTAAAGGCCATATGGCTAACAAAAGCATGATTTTTTAAGAATCTATATAAATATAGATTTGTAAGACATTACCTATAAATTAATTCTTATTCTCCTAATAAACATATTCAGATTCGAATTGGTTGGCATAAGCTGTCAAATTTAGAAGTATAAATATCAAGCAGGGTGCAACTTCTATAATTCTGTTTTACCATATAGTAACCATATCTTTATATGATAAGTGTCAGTTTAGTGTTTACTTTAAGGTTTCTTATTTAGGCAACTAACAGGTTGAAGAAATGGTAATCATAATTGATTAAAATGGAGTACAGTCCAATCTGTACATCCAAATGTGACATTATTTATATTGTGTAATGAATTGTAAGGCTTAATCAAAATTAGATCAGAAGTTTTTTTTCATATAATTCTTTTCTTTTTTATAATCTATTGCAACCTCAAGACTATAGGAAAGGTCAGAAGTCATATCTTCATATAATCTAATTAGAAAAAAAATGTGGTAAATTTTTATAACTAGACAGATTTGAATTCTAGACCTTCACTTAGTGACCTATAAAGCTTTATCACTGAGTTATAGACTCATAGGTCCTTTTAAATTATATTTTCTAAAATTAATGTTTATTTAATTAATAAATAGAATATAATTAAAAATTTGAAATCAAATTAAGATATGAAATTTTTTAAAAAAATTAAATATATATATATATATTTATTTAAAAAAAAACTATAAATTAAAAATAATGTAAATTAAAAAAAAAATTTTTTTTTTAAATTCTTAAATCTTTTAAAATTTTTTGTTTTTTGAATTAATAAAAGAATTAATAAAAAAAGTTAATCTATTATATATATTATATATATAAAAAGTACTATATATATATATATATTTTTGAAAAAACATGAGGTCTTTATATATTATCTTTATTTATAATTTTAAACTTGCAAAATATAAGATTTATAACTTAATGGTGTAATATACATCTCATTTTGCCAAAAAGAGTTAAATTCCAGGCTCAAAAAATGGTCCTTCTATTTAAGTTTCTTGACATCACTTAAAAATATAAGAAAAAGAAATTCAAAAATCTATATTATGCCTTAAATAGTATCTAGCTATTTAAAGAAATTTGATACCTAATTATATGAAGACACTGCAGCCACTATATACAGGTTGACCTTCAAGTCATAACTAGAATTGAAATGTTTGTTTTTCAAATGTGACTTGATATACAGCAAGCCAAATGTATTTTATCTTATGCTTTATCTGAATAACT